AAAAGTTTTCAAGAAATAGAAAAAAGATAATTCTTGAAAAGAAACACTTACTTGTAGTCTGCCTGTGGGCCTCTGAACTATTGAGCGCAAGACCCCTGCCATGAGTGTGGGAGCTGTTCTCTTTAGAGGCTGTGAGAGTAGAAAATAGATCCATGGATCAAATATGTCTTGGAAATGGACAGGTCCCCCCTTCTGTAGTACTAAAAAACTAAACAAGTTAATTGTAAACTTGACTGAAGTTTAACAGTAAAATCTCAGTTATTTTAAAAATTAAGGGCAAGAATTAAGTTAAAATAAACGTTTTATTCAGAGTTCAGCAAAACCATAGGTAATAACTATACATTAACCACATTCCATTTTCACCAAATGAGTTAGAGCCTCGGTTGATTTAACAAAAATGGGAAATGGGGGTTACTATCATTTTAAAAAATCTTCGACAATGAGGGCAGATAAAGAATGCTTTGTTAGAGAATCACAAAAAATTACAAAGCTGGAAAGGACTGAAGAAACTCCAACTCCTATAATTAGAATTGACAATCCTCTTACTCTATGTGTGGGGAAAAGGAATCCCAGAAAGTTCAGTCGTTTACCCAAGGGCTTCCAGCTCTCAGGAGAGCATATGATCTGGAACCCACTTCTCCTAATTCTTAGTCCAGGGCATTTTCACTAAATCACAACACCTTCTGTTAAAAAGTAAAGTAGAACTCTCTTCTTCGGTTATTTGTATTTTTAAACTATTCGTAACAAACATGCATTGCTTGTATGACCTGAAAAAGTCATGTTTACTTACTTAGATACAAAACAATTATAGCCTACTATACTGACATATACTGAAAGCAGAAAGATGAAGTTCATGAACTACACATATATTTTGGATAGGTTACTTAATTTGTGTGTTTCAATTTTTTCCCCAAAGAACAGAAAGAAAATAATGCCTACCTTGCAAAGGAGTTATTCTAAAAACACCTACAACAGTAGTTGGTGCACAGGAAGCCCTCAATAAATGGTAGCTTTTACTATCATAAAATTATAAAGCTGTAATAAGAATACCCTAAACACAGCAAAATAGGGTAAGTGCCCACCAGATTCTGGCTCACTCAAGCTCTGCAAGTCTTTCCTGCGATGTGAATGACACAGTGGAATTGCGGGAATCAATACAAGATGTCCCATGAAAAAAGTCAGACTTCAGAAAAATTCTCAGCAACTGAACCAATCTCTCAAAATTAATTATGGGTCAGCTTCAGAAGAGTTAACTACTAAATCCTTTGTGCCCTGAAAGCAAGAATTTCACCTTGTTCTTCTCAGCTTCTCTCTCAGCATCTAGCACACTATCTGAGGAACAGCTGGCACCCACTGTTGATGAATGCATGAATAAACTAATGGGTTAGGGCTAAGTCTGCTGCACTCAGAATTCAGAAGTACATCAGATTTTCGTAACTGTCATTCAGGCTTCAGACCTCTAACATTACAACACAGCATAACAATTTTTAGTTCAAATCATCCTCTGTTTGCTTAGCTGGTTGTTTATATATTTTGTATCAGGCTTCCTTAGAAGAGGTGCTGAATTTCCTTACTGAGACCTGCTTAATCTTCTGGCTCTCCAATCAAATAGATTATGCTAAGTTATTTTCTCTACCATACTTCTTCCTCTCAAGTTAAGTATTATATTCTGACCCAACTCATTTAGCTTCACACCTTGTTAAATCTTTCTCTTATCACTTAGATTTCAACAAAACCCTCCTAATTGGCCTTCCTGCTTCCATTCCAAGTTCCCTAAGGTCTTTTCTCCACAGCAGCAATTATCTCATTAAATCCTAAATCAGATCATGTCAATTGCTCTGCTCAAAACCTTCCAATGAGCCAGGTTTCTCACTGTCGGAATGGGAGGTTACACACAAGCAAGAGGGGAAGGCTAGAATGATCCATGTGATCCAATGATACAGGATTAGAGTTGGAATTCATGTTTAGCTTAACATAGACACTAATGGATACAGAAATAATTACAGATATTTATGTACACACGGGTTAGCTGTTAGTTGAGAGGACCTAAAAGCAACGGCATCCCAGTAGCAATGAGCACGCTCAGTGCCCAGACAGTGGTTTCTAACAGAATTCTCTAATAAAAGGAAGCAGGGCTCCTTGGAGAAATGGCTGAGTACAGGGCCACAGCAGGGAACATATAGAGACAGTCTGGAGCATCTGACACTGTTAGAAAGGAACTACTCAAAAAATCAAAATGATGCGCGTATGCCAAGTCAAAGAGATACAGGAACCAACCGAAAGAGCTCTCGGTGGCTAAAGCTAGAATAATATGAACAAGAAAATAAAGTATTGGCTTATAATCCAAACCATAAAATAACCACGAGTCTATATTGATATAAATAAATTAATGGGAGAGAAGGAACAAATCTCTTTTACAGAAGAATTCCCAATAATCTATGTAGCTATTTCCCCCTCAAAGAGATGGAGCAAAACTACTCACCCCTGGAGTATGGGCTATGCTTAATGACTTGCTCCCAGAGTACAGTACAGAAAGAGGGGACAATAACACTATCTCAGAGAAGCCTGACAAATACTACGTCAGCCAGGTGATCATGGTTAAGATCACCTGTGATAAAAGTCAAGTTGATAGCATGTACCCTTGATATGACAGAATGAGAGTGGCACTTCACTTCCATGGTCTTCCTCCCAAAAACCCATAACATGCCCTAAGAGAAAAACATCAGACAAACTCCAGTTGAGTGATATTGTACAAAATACTTGACCAGTACCTCCTCAAATACCTGACTACCTCAAAACTGTCAAGGTCATCAAAAACAAGGAAAGTCTGAGAAACTGTCATAGTCAAGAGGAGCCTAAGACATGACGACTAAATGTAATAGGGGGTCCTGCATGGGACCCTGGAACAGTAAAAGAGTAACAGGCAAAAACTAAGAAAATCTGAATGAAGTATGAACCTTAGTTAATAATGAGTCAGTATTGGCTCATCAATGACAACAAATGTACCATACTAATCTAAGATTTTAATAAAAGAGGAAACCGGAGCATGGGATACCTAGGAGCTGTGTACTATCTTCACACTTTTCAGTAAACCTAAAATTATTCTAAAATGAAAAGTTTATTTATTAAAAAATTAAAAACCTCCAATGCCTCTCCATTTGAATCAGAGTGATAGCCAGTCCTTAACCCCCACCTCCTGGACTTCATCTCCAATCATTCTCTCTCTCTCAATCACTAGACATTGGCCCCCTCACTGGTCCTGGAACTTGCTAGGCAGGCGTGCTCCCTTGGACTGGCTGTTCCCTCTCCTTAAATGCTCCCAATAGTCACAGGGTTAACTCCCTTACTTCCTTCAATTTTTGGTTCAAATCTAACCTTCTCAATGAGATCTACCCCGATTCAATTATTTAGCATTTTGACCCACACCACAATCGTCAGCACCCATGATCCCTCCTATTTTATTTGATTGTCTTTCCATAGCACTTATCATCTTCTAACATAATTTATTTGTTAGGTTTGTTGCTTACTGTCTCCCTTCAATAGCATGTTAGTTCCAACAAGGACAAAGACTTTTTAATTTTGTTTTTGATCTGTTCTATTCACAGATATATCTCAAGCCTCTACCTAAAGCAGCACCCGCCATGCAGTAGGCACTCAATCAATTTTTGCTGGATGACTGAAGCTAAGTTCACAGACTTCAGAAGGTGTGATAGTCAAAAGTTATGTTTTAATAAAATAAAGGTTATTCTTAGTAATTAGGCACACAACTCTTGGACCTTGAAGCAATGATACTGTCTTCTACTGTACAATAACTTTTCTCTTGCACAGATGCAATGCAAAAACAGGAAAATATATACATCATATGAAAAGTACGATCCTATTTCTATTTAAAAGAAAAATGTGAATCTGTTATAAACACAAAAGAACTCTGTAAGGCTACCAGAAAAACGTGACCTAGGTGGTAGGCTACTGGAGTGATTTTTCCTCTTTTTTTTTTCCTTGTATGTCCAATAGTTTTATTGGAGATGGTGGTGTTTTACAATGACCATACATGTAACTGGTGTTAAAAAAACTATTTCCTTTCCTAAAGAGACATCTATTTAATGATATGGGGGTGGGGGGTGACTATTGAAAATGCAGAATTTCCCTTTCAATAAACCGAGATCTCTGAAGGCAAGAAATGTCTCTTTTTTCAACTCAATGCCTAACAAGTGGTAGGCAACCCTTATAAGTGCCTTTTGGCAAAAAAACGCAGACCAAGCAGCTTTGAGTAGATGGCGACCAAAACATGGTCACAAAGTGACAAAATTTTAGTAAAATGACAAATATTTTAACCACCAACTCCGGAAGGTTCACCTTCTAAAATGCAGCAATTTAAAATTTAGGCAATTTCGTATTTTCATTAACAAAAAATCAAGTTACGCTCATCCCGAACAGAAAGCCGAAGTTATGAATAAAGCAGAAGCACAGAAAATGCTAAAACAAACTTCAACTCCCTTTCCCAGGCTGTCCAGCCCGGGCGGCTCCCCTTGAACTTCGGTTCCAGCCGCGCGTCCCGGAGCGCCGCGCACTGGGAAACCGGGTCAGGTCAGCCAGTGGCTTTTCGGGAGCCAAAGGGATGGTATCGGGACGCAGGCCCACTTAGGTCACTGTGACCCGCAAGCTCATAATCCAACTGGGAAAATCAACCCGCATCTGCACAGGATTGCAGATATGCACTCCTGGCAAAATGCAATCTTTCGGCCACTCACTCCTCACTGCCCAGCGACTGCTAAACGTCCAGCCTGAACTTACCCACCGAGGGGAAGCCGAGCCCAGGATAGACCACCAAGCGTTACACTCCTGCTCCGCCGTCACAGTGCGCACAACCGGCAAACTAGGGCACTTTAGTTCCGGAAGAGTCCCTCCTTCAAGGGCCGTAAAAAGAGCGCAGGCGCGTTGGCGTCACTTGACCGCTCCCGGCGTGCTGAAGACCCGCCCAATCTGGCCCGGCTTGAGGCAGAGGGCTGTTTCCGGAATTATGGCGAGGTGTGGTCTGGGCCAGGATCCCGAAAGCGCCGCTGCGGTCGCTGTGCTAAAGCGGGCGGTGGAACTAGATTCGGAGTCGCGGTACCCGCAGGCTCTGGTGTGTTACCAGGAGGGGATTGACCTGCTCCTGCAGGTTCTGAAAGGTGAGCAATGAGCCGTGGAGGGAGGACCACAGGAAAAGGAGCTGGATCCCGCGGTGTCTGCGGGCGGAGCGAAGGATTTAAAAACCATGCTTGGGCACCAGGAGGAAGCAGTCAGATACAGAAGGTGGGATATGCTACAGGACAAGCGGACTGCTTTCTTTATGTTCTTAATAGATTGACGTCATTAAGAAAAGGGGGGTGCTACTCTAGATTTTTAAGAGACATAACCAAATGTAATGTCAGACTTGATAGGACATGGGTTTGAACTAACTGTAAAAGACAAAAAATTGTAAAACTGTAAAAATTGATTTTTGGATCAATTTGGAAAGTTTGAATATGGATTGGGTAACATGAAAATGATTAACTTTGCTAGGCAGTATGGTTTTTTTAAAAACTGTCCTTAATTTTTAGAGATGCACACTGAAGTGTTCTGGGAAGAATAGTTGTGATGTCTGAATTTAATTTTACTTAAGAAAAAGAAGTTGAAGCAAATGTGGCAAAACGCTAACAGTCTTTAAATCTAGGTGATGGGTAGTAAGGGGGTTCATTACACTATTATCCTTACTTTTCTGTTTAAACTTTTTCATTAAAAGTAAATGAAAAATCACATCGCGGTAAAAAAACAAAGATTTTTTGTAAGAAGTGGCTGTTGTACTGAAATTCATGTGAGAGATGCGTCGGGTTGTGGGCGGAAGCGGTGAGACTTTTTCCGTTAGGTGGGTGGTTATTCTTAGTGTTGAGAAGCAGCCAAATAACGCTTAACACCCAGCACAGTCCCCGGCACAAGACCCTCTGCTAACAAAAAGATGATGACTTGCTGAGGGCTCGGATGATGGTTAGCATTTTTTAGCAATAAAGTATTTTTTAGTTAAAGTATGTACATTTTTTTAGACATAATGCTATTGCACACTTAATAGACTACAGTATAGTGTAAACATGTTTTACATGCACTGGGAAACCAGAAAATTTGTGTGACTTGCTTCATTGTCATATTCGCTTTATTGCAGTAGCCTGGAATGGAACCGGAAATAGCTCTGAGGCATGCCTGCATGAACTTGTGGTTTTTAATATATATACAGATGGATAGACAGAGAAATAAATACAGATGTATGTGTGTGTTAGTAAAACTACATATACCTTCCCGCTGTGTTGACTGACAGGCCTAGGGGTAGTGCTAGCTCCCCCACGTAGCAGTGAGCACACTTGGCACCCAGAATTTGATTTCTTGATAGCATTCTCCAATAAAAGGAACCAGGGCATCTTGGGAAAATGGGTAATTTGGGGGCTGGGGCAGGGAAAATACAAGATGAGTTTATAGCATTTGCCACCAAAAAGTAAGGAAGTGCTCAAAAAATGATGGGACGTGTCGAAAGGACACAGGAGCCAACATAAAGGAGCTCTCAAAGCCAAAGCTGATAAAGTGTGAGCAAGAAAATAATGGTAGTGTTGGAATACAACCCACAGAATAAGATCAATATCCATGAATCCATATTGATATAAATTAATAATTGAATAAGTAAATAGATGGGGGAGAAGAGACAGCTTTTCCTTATAGTAGAATTTCAATTAATAAATAGGAATGATGGAAATAGGAGATCACCATTTGGCAAACACTGCAGTAATAATGATTGCAGGCAAGGACCATCAGTGGATGCTAAAATTAGTGCGTGAAAGAGTGATGAGAGATAGGATCTCTTCCCACAAGATACATATTAATTACAAAGGAGAAAATAGTGATTTTACAGTGGAGAAATCTATGAACTCCACCTTAACCAAGTGATCAAAGTTAACATCACCAGTTATAAGACATGTCAACATCATGTACCCACTGAGAAGGGCACAACACTTCTGTGATTTTCTTGCCAAAAATGCATAACTTCGATATAAGCATGAGAAAACATCAACAGCCCAAAATGAGAGACATTCTACAAAATAACTGACGATTCTCTTCCTAAATGTCAAGGTCATAAAAGGCAGAGAGAGACTAAGGAACTGTTACAGATCGGAGGAGACTAAGGAGACGTAACAACTAAATGCTGTGTGAGATCCTAGAGCAGAAAATGAACTTGCTTTAGTGGGGAAATTGGTGAAATACACATAAGGTTTGTAGATGAGTTAACAGTGTTGTGTCAATGTTACTTTCCTAACTGATAATTGTACTGTTATTGTGTGATGTGTTGATATTTGGGGAATCTGGGTAAAGGGATTCTGTACCATTTTTGCAACGTTTCCACAAATATAAAATTCAAAATAAAATGTTTAAAAAACTGAGAGTTTAAAAATGAAATTATTATGCAAAATATAAGCAATATCAAAAGGAAGGAACCAGAAGTGATTTGGTGACTGATTGGGTTTGTGGGGTTGGGGCTTGGGGTAAGATTTTATTGATAATGTATATTCTAAAATACCTTACATCTTTTGAGAACCTGGGAAAATGATTGAGCATTAACTATAATGGGGAAGTCAGTCTGGAAGAGAAGCTGGTTTTGTGGAAGATAAATAGGTATTGTTTGCTATCTTTTGATTATGTTAAGATATCAAACTTGTGTGTGATTAGGACAAAATAGTGCTCAGACTCAGGTTTGACATGTACTATGCCACCTTTGTCACCTCATGAGATTTTGTGTCCCTTGCAGGGAGACGCAGTGTCAGAGTTCCCTGCTCCTAAAAAAGATGCTTCAGATGCTTAGTGCAAAAATGAAGGTCCAGCATGATCAAGCCAAATTTGAGCTTATTTGTGTATCTTAGGACTGAGGGAAACCATGCTAAAGGATAGCAAATTTGCAGAAAATTTGGGAAACTGGAAATAATGCCTGTACTCAATAGAACAACTGTTTTGAAACTTGAGAATATATTTTTTAATTTGTAGGCACCAAAGATGATACAAAGAAGTGTCATCTCAGAAAAAAAATTTCTGGCTACATGGATAGAGCAGAAAACATAAAAAAATACTTGGATCAAGAAAAAGAAGGTAAAGAGGCTTTTTTAGAGTGTGTTCCATAAGCTATTGTGACAAAGCCAATTTCACCCAATTTCTGGCTCTGACTTTGCAGCACTGTGTGGTCTGGACCATTTATTGCTGGGATCTTAATGGATTTCTGGTGCATTTCTGCTCCCCTATACATAAGCTATTCTGAACCTTTTTTTCTTGGTGGGGCGGCGGGAGGTGGTGGTTAGATACCCTCTTGAGAATCTGATGAGAGCCATACATACTGCAGAACCGTGCATGCTGTTTTAAGGCATTTACAGATCCTCATGAAGCTTATGTGTGGACTCCAGTTTAAGTAATACTACAGAGGAACACTGAATGTAAATCCTACATTTTATTTGTATTTCTCTTTATAAAAAGACCAACATAGTAAAGTACGTAAAGAAACTCCTGGGTCTTCTCTGTGTTTTGTTATGAATCAAAACATTTCAGGAGTTAAGTATTCTTCATGATTCGTGATGCAGTAGGGATTCTATGCTATTTTTTGCCAGTTCTCTACTCACGAGCATCCAGTTTACAAACGAATATATATATATAAATGGTCATTGCCACCTTTGCCTGAAGTGCACACTCCTGCTGCTTTTTGTACTCAAAGGAACTACTGCCCTCAAAAACCAATGTCTCCAGCCCTCAGCTGCTCTTCCTCGCTATCCTTACGGCAGCCTTCTCCCTACCTCTTCCTAGTATTCTGCAGCAGCCCATATCCTGGGTACCCTTACTGAGCTCCTCTGTTGAGTAGGAATAAAATTGTTTCCTTCACCCCAAGTTGAAATCTACAGTGACATTTCCCTCTAAAATATTGATGAAATATAGTACCATCGGCATTGTGAATACAGCAGGTTTGAATACATTGGATTAAATTAACCTGTTGGCTAGCTTGACTTGAAAACTGATGCATAGTTGCTCACATATATGTGGAAATATTAGGAATAGAATCCAAACTACTGGTTTTTAAACAAAGGTTGAAAGTAGAAATTAGGAACTACCACTAGGGGTCATATTTTTAAAAAACCTTGAAGGTCTTTGATAACATTCAATAATTATTCATTTTGAATGAACAAAACAATGGAACTATCCTACTGATCCTGTGGCATCCTAGTCTTTGGCTTGGGTTATTGAGAAGTACTGTAAATTTCTGCTTAGAACACTACAAGTTCTAAGAAAGACTTCTAAACGCCACGTTATACTGCATTTATGTTTAATACTCACTTTAGCTATTAAATTATAGGACATAAAAAGACTTAATTCTGAAGAGGACCAGATAGCCACTGAATTATAGCTTGTGGTTCTACTCGCGGTGACAGGAATATCAGATACTTTTATACATACAGTTCTCTCTTGAATAAAGTGCCTGGTCTGTAGGATTCAGCTCAAGAACCTGTTCTAGGAAATCTCTGGACTTTCCCACTTGCCTGGCGTCCATGAAGGCAGAAATCACTCATGGAATGATTTGCCTTATTTACCTCTGTATGTGTAACATCTTGCAATGTGCCTGATATATAGTAGGTATTCAAAAATGTTTGCTGAGTGGATGAGTTAAAAAAATTAACTTGTATCTAATTCCAATTAATCACTATATATAAATATAATATGTTTAAAAAGAAAATAAGTGGTCACTGGTTTTATTATTGAAGCTTGTGTTTTTTAGATGGAAAATATCACAAGCAAATTAAAATAGAAGAGAATGCGACAGGTTTCAGTTATGAGTCACTTTTTCAAGAATACCTTAATGAAACAGTTACAGAAGTTTGGATAGAAGATCCTTATATTAGACATACTCATCAGGTAGGTGAAATGTACTAAAATATGATGAAATGTTATTTAAAATTTACGAGTTATTAATAACCCATCCTAATATCTTTCAGCTGTATAACTTTCTTCGATTTTGTGAGATGCTTATTAAGAAACCATGTAAAGTAAAAACTATTCATCTTCTCACCTCTCTGGATGAAGTAGGTATCTGGAAGTATTTATTCTTTCTTAACTTCATTAACTTCATTTAGTTACAGAATGTAGTTTGAGCAAGGAAAACCTGAATGTAATGCTTCAGCTAGAGCTATTTCAGAATAAACTTATTATCTAACAACAGGCATAAAACATCTGGAGAAAAATGCTCTTGATTTCAGTATGTTGTACTTTGCATTTGGCCACTTTGCTAAACTCTTTGATTCAAATTGTTTGTCAGTTTAGTCTCTTGGATGTTCTAGGAGGCAGTCACACGTCTGCACTGTTGACAATTTTACCTCTTCTTTACCAATTACTGTATCTATCTCTTTCCCTTGATTTATTGCATTGGCCTTCTGGGGGATCATAGCATAATAGTGGGCATCTCTGTCTTGATTTTGACTTAAGTAGGAATGCTTCTAAGTAATTCAGATTTCTAGGATTAATTTGGGAAGAAGGCAGCCCCATCTGAATAACTAAACAGCATTACTAAAATACACTTTAGGAGACAGGAGAGTTGTGTTATGCTCACATTAGAAAAAACCAATTATTTTGATAAAAACAATTGCTCTTAAACTACTTCTTATTTTTTGGTTGCTTCTTTGAGACAACAGACATTGAAACTAGTATAGAACCTTTCCATTTTAATTCACCTGTGATACACACTGCAGAGCTTAGGGATAATTTAAAATATTAATAACTGAGGCATAAAATTCTGTTTTTCCTATTGATAGGGCAGTAGGAGAGAACAGCAAAGTAGTGGCCTGAGAGAGATAAAAGAGTCACTCAGGAAGCATGGAGTGCTGTTGGAATTAGAATACTCTTCTTCAATACATGACCGAGAAATTAGGTTAGTATATAGTAATATTCTAATTGTCATGCAATTGAAAAGCTTATTTTTATTTCCCTTAAGTTTTATAAAACTACATAGAAATGTTCAAGTTAAATATAAAAATTTTAATTAAAGCTCAATTTTAGTGTCTTCACTTTTGAGGGGAAAACACATGGCTTATTTTGTCCAGTATGAGTTTCATATTTCCTAATGGAATAAAGTTTACATGTTCTGTGTCATGTGAGAAGCAGAAGTACTTTTCTGTCTATTCAACTATACATTTGGTGTTATGGTAATGGGATAATTTCTTTTTCTAGTGATACTAATATTTATTTAATGTGGTTTTATTTCTTACAGTTTATCAACTATTCTAGTACATGACTGTGCTGTGTCTATAAGGAAACAGTGTATGGAGTTACTTCAGTCATCTGTTCCCTCTGTTTAGCACAGTGGCTTTCATATGTATATAGCAACGGCCCCCTTAGTTTTAACCAAAACTTAAGCACAACCGAAATGCAGAACAGGTGAAAATGCAGCTGCTGTGGTTGAAGCAGAGATCAGGACCCAGAGCTGTTCCTGCTCACATCCTCCATCTCTAGGTGGGGGAACCCCTAAAACACCACCACAGTCTGCCTGAGTACACTTTAAAACCACTTGTTGGCAGAACAGGACAGTTTTACGAGCAAGCTAAAATTCAAGAGTAAGGGTTAACTGGTAAACTTTTTATCAGCTAATCAAATCGACTGATGGTGCCTGAACGGTTTGTTTCACTATAGACACAGCCCATAAGGAACCCCATGTTTGGTTCAACTCATGCCCCCAGAGGAAGTGATTTTATTTATTAGGGGGAAATTCTGCTGATACTTAATACACTACAGCTTTGATAATTGTCTGACTTAAAAGTCTGGAATATAATACTATATACGAATTTCAATAGGTTCAACAATGGATGGATGATTAAGATTGGAAGGGGACTTGATTATTTTAAGAAAGCACAGGTAGGATATAGTCTTATGAGTGAGTATGTAGCACTCTTTTTATATCATTTTAACAAAATGGCTTTGGTCCTTTTTTGTTAAAAAAACTCTTTTCTTCTCTTCATAGGGTCGTTTTTCCCTTGGATATTGCGATTTTGATTTAAGACCATGTCATGAAACAACAGTGGACATTTTTCATAACAAGCACACAAAAAAAATATGATGGGTAGTAGTCTAATTTCCATTATATATTTCTATTTTAAGTGAACATTATATATTTTTTTACTTTGGATAGATCATTCCTATAATGTATGAATTTAACAATAAACTTTTACATTTCTACTAATTTATAGATCCATTGCTCAGTTGTGTGACCAATCCTAAATAGTGTTATAAGTACGTTACTCAGTAGCTTTACAGTGTTTCAAGTCATACAGTTAATTTAAACATTTTACCAGCTTTTCTTATTTGGCTGTTGGAGAGTGAATCAACAGATAATGAGCACCTATTGTGAAGATGAGTTGGTTATTAATCCTACCCCTGGGAATTTAGATTTTAGGAGGGAACATCATGGATTAGAGTACTCTTAAGAGACAAATGGGCTTGTGGGTCTAATAACCAGAAAAAAAGTACAATGTTAATTTTTTACAGTTAAGTGTCTTTGGCATTACCTAACTCCATAAAGGCACATGAACCCATTTAGTTATCTAGATGCATTCTGCAGCTCATTCAACCTTGGCTGGCACATTTGTAAAGGTTCTCAGCTTAGAATTAACTGTTCTGGGTAAGCTCATCCATCCAGATGCCAGTTGACTGGTTGGAGACAAAGACCTGGTTCCATGGAGACAGGGTGGGGGAGGAGATACAGGCACAGGCAGAGGCAGTGGGCAGTCCAGAAGCTTAAAGAATAAGCTACCCCAAAGTCTATGGAGGGAGTACTGGTGTTGGAGAGTGTGCATATAAACATCATATCTAGAGAAGGTTGAGATTAAATTCAAGATTAAATAGTGTGGAGAACCGGAGCCAGGTGGAAGCCATGGGAATAAGGTTGGGCAGAGTGGTCCTGGGTGGCCTTGGACACCAGGTTTATGTTTTGCCTTTGTGGGCCAGCAGGTACATGATTGAGTTGGCCTAAAATACCAAGAAGGGCTTCCAGAAAAGTTCCTGATGTTTTTCTTTGATGTTTTCAGGTTCAGGTGCTGATAATGCTGAACCTGAAAATACTCAAACCAGTTTGCCAAGCTTTATTATATGGAAATTCAGGGTCTCAAGAGAGTACTTCGACAAGTGTTGGACCTGATCAAAAGTTACTCTCTGCAAAGTATCCTAGCTCATTTTGCCAGGTACCCATCGTCATGTGGAAGTAGAGTGGCTTTTCATTCAGGTGAGAACACAGGTTAGACCTCCTTACTTTCATGTTAAAATAACAACTCTGATTTCTAGAGCGTATGAATCTATCACTGTAGAGAATCAGCAGTCCACAACCCTCTGAAATTAACTTTTATCCAACTCTCATAGAAATCCTGCCTAAGAGATAATGATAGTTAAGGAAGAGAGCCTACACACATGCTCTCCATTATTCTAAATATTTGAAGTTCTGTCCCCAGACCCTATTAGAACACCAGATGCAAGTTTCCCTAATAAATATATCAAGAAATGTGCAAGAACTATATGAAAAAACTATAAGCTTTATGGAAGAATGTAAAAGAAAACTAGAGTAACTGGAAAGACAAATATTCCTGACTGGGAAGGCTTTGTAAGCTGTCAGTTCTCCCTAAGTTAATTTATAAATTAAATAACAAAAGAGACCAACACTAGGAGGCTTACTTGACCAGCTATAAAGACATAAAGCTACAATAATTTTTTTAAATGTATGTTTATAAGAATAGACAAATCAATGGGATAAAATAAGGAGTCCAGAAACACATCTAAGAGAAAGTGAATGTGTGTATGGGTACTTAATTTGCAATAAAGGAGTCTTTCAAATTAGTGGGGAAAGTGTAGACTATTCAATAAAGTTTGGAAAAAATAACACTAGATCTCTACCTTACTTCACATAGAGAAATTATTTTAAATGGATTAAAAAGTTAAGTGAAAAATCTAAATATTTTTTAAAACCCCACTCAATGTATTAAGCATGCCACAAAACCCAGGAATTATCAAGGAAAGCAGAGAGCAAAAGATTGATCATGCAAATATTTAAAACTTGAGTAAAGGGAACCATAAGAAAGTTAAAATCATATGAAGTCAAATTTACTATATATAGAAAAAGGGTTGATAGTCCTAATATATGAGGAAGATAGCCAAACTTTTAGCAAGTGAACTTGATCTCACCTCCTTTAGCCTCACCAAGTACTTGGTCCTTTGAGCAATCTCTCCTGCTACTGCATTGTTCCTGCCAGTACATACATCCCCATCCAGATACCACCTTCCTTCTTTGTTCTTCTTCATGAACAAACTTCTTGAAGGAGTTCTGTATACAGTTTTTTTCCATTTCCCCACCACCTATCACACTTCAACTCACTTCAATCTGGCTACCCAGTCATTCCACTGAAATTGCTCGTCAAGGTCAACAATGACCTCCATACTACCATATCCAGTGGGCACTTTTTGTGTGTGTGTGAGGAAGATTGGCCCTGAGCTAACATCTGTTGCCAGTCTTCCTCTATTTTATGTGGGATGCCACCATAGCATGGCTTGACAAGCAGTGCTAGGTCCACTTTCAGTATCTGAACCTGCGAACCCCAGGCTGCTGAAGCAGAGCATGCAAACTTAACTACTGCCCCACCTGGCTGGCCCCCTCCAATGGGCACTTTTTAACCCTAATATTACTTAACCTTTCAAGATTATTTGACTGAGTTGGCCACTCCCTTCTTGAAACTCTCAGCTTCCATGAAACACACTTTCCTTTTCCTCTACTATACCTCTTAAATATTGGAGTTCTCCTAAACTAGGTGTGAGGTAGTAACCTTTTTTTTTCAATCTACACTCTTCCCCTTACTCTCAATGGTACACTTAACTACACTGTTAATGGTATAAATGATTATACCGTTAAGTTCTTAGTGAAAACCAACAGAAACTGCTCTTACCTGATATAAGCAACAAAGATTTATTACAAGGATAGTGGGTAGTTCAAACCATCACCACAAGAGGTTCTGCAGTGAAAAAAATCACATCTGGAATCAACACAGAACCAATCAGATGATACCACTGTTGACCCCAATGCAAGGCCTGGCTGCAGTAGCCTTATATCACTCTATCACTTACATTACCAGCACAGGGCACTACATGGCCAGCCTCACTGTCTTTACTGCCTCAGAAATTCAGGCTCCTTCACTATTGCCAGAGAAGGGTTTTCACTATCCCAGGTTCCTGGATCACCATCCATTCAAAGCCTGGACCAAGTGCCTCTGATTGGCAGAGCCTAGGTCATGTCCCCACACCCTAGCCTCAAGGGAGGCTGGGAAAAGAGTACAGTGAGTTTTCAGTTTCCATGGGGTGTGGGGGTGTTAGTTTGCAACCTCAGGAGGTCCCCGGGTGAAATTCATTCGAAAATGGCCCCCATATACGAAGGGCAAGGAGAGACCAAGGAAAGAAGCAGACCCTCCCAGATTGGTAGGTGGCAGGTTTAATAAGCAAGGGAACTTACATACGAGGCTTGTCTTGGGCAGCTGCAAGATGAGTAGGTCTCTGCACCCATCCCCCAGAATCTTAAAAGTTTATATAGAAGGCTTAACTGAGTTCAGTCACATATACCATCCAGATTGCTCAGTGATACATTACTCTCTCAAGGCTGCGTCCTTGAAGTGGCTCCTAACGGGAACATTGGGCAGAAAGTACATTCCAAGAACAAGGGCAGATTCCAGTTCGAGGGTCAACTGGCAGTCATGTCCTCTCAATGACCTCCTCCAACAAGCGGGCTCTACCTCCCACCAAGATTTATAAGGGGGAGAATTCCCCAAACATAGTATGGGGACTCAGATGCTAAACACTTTAAATTTAACCTTTAGATGAATTATAGACGTCCACAATTACCTATTTTCATCACAACTATTAATATGCTGTCAACTCCCAAATATATAAATTAAGCCAAGACTTCTTGGAGTTCTAATCTCATATATTCAGCTGCCTGTTTGGCATTTCATCTGGGATCTCAGAAGCCCACAAGCATTTCAAATATGATATGCCCCAAAGGCACTTTTGATAAACACTCCCCAACTCCCTGTGTTTACTCCCATCCACCCAGTTGCTCAAATAAGAAATCCAGGAGTCATTCTCGATTCCTTGCTCTTCTTCATCCCCATGTGCGAACAATCAGAAAGTTCTGAGAAATGTACCTGCAAAACATACCTTGAGTCCATCTGTTCCAGGTGATGCTTGTCAGATTTCTATTTTGGAATATGAAGGCCTTAACACCCTTTGCCTGATGATACCCTCTCTCTTGAGAAACAAATGGTATTAGAACATCATGACTGCTTTATTGCACCAAAGCACATCATATCAGATTTTTTATACCTTTCTTAGAAAATAACTGTCACAGGTTGCAACAAACATAATGCTTAACATGCCCATGAGAAATCTCATCAAAATTGTGTTTATTTGCTGTTTAATATTGTTGCTAAAGAACAAAAGGACCTGCCCATTAAACCTGCCTCAAATGAAAAAAGCTAAACTGCCAATCATGTTAGTCCCAGTAGCAACTTGAAAAGTCAAGTTCCCTTCACTTACTCCACTCCCACTTTGAGATAACCAGTTGCAGGCAAACTGTAGTCCACTTCTTCTCCCCCTCCTCAAAAAAAAAGGATGCGATCTGGATCCACTTAGGTATACGAAAAGAACTCATAGAAGAGGACTGAGATTAATATGCTGCTATCCAAACACTGTTACATTGTTTCAGACAAAGAGGTCTCTAGGTCTCTCAGAGACCTGAAACTCCTGTGTTATGGGTTGAATTGTGCCCCCCCAAATTCACATGTTGAAATCCTAACCCCTAGAACCTCAGAATGTAACCCAATTTGGAGATAAGGTCTTCAAAGAGGTAATAAAGTTAAAATGACATCTTTAGTGTGGGCCCTAGTCCAATATGATTGGTGTCCTTATAAAGAAGTGGAAATTTTGACAGATATGCGCACAGAGGAAAGACTTTGTGAGGGCACAGCAAGGTGGCAGCCATCTGCAAGCCAAGAAGAGGCCTCAGAAGAAACCAAACCTGCTGTCCTCTTGATCTTAGACTTCCAGCCTCCAGAACTGTGAGAAAATAAATGTCTATTGTTTAAACCACAGATCTGTGGGCTTTTGTTATGGCAGCCCTGGCAAACTAACACATACTGCTTTATTGTTTCCTTTTTAAAAGAATCAAAATTAAACTTTGCCTTGAAAATGAGTCAACCCTAATTTTTAACAGGTGCCTAACACACCATCCATGTCTTTCCATGGCCACTGCCAGCACCACCTCTGCTGGATTCCTACAGTAGTCTCCTAACTGGCTCGCTGCTTCCTATCTTGCCTCACTCCACCCCATTCTTCACAGAGCAGCCAGAGTAATCTTTGTAAAGACTGTCATCTCTCATCGCACTTAAATCCAGCTCTACTTTGGCCTATCAGTCCCTGCCTGACCTGGCCTCTGCTTCTCTCCCTTGTTTCCACACTTGAGTTTGCTTATACGTACTTCCTTCAACACCATCAACAAGCCTAGTTCTTTCCTGCTTTAGGGCCTTCCTGTATGCTGTTCTTTGTGGCAGATTGTACTTTCCGAAAATGGCTGCAGTAAGATCTCCCATCCCAGCAGCTCTTTTTATAATGACTTTGACATTCCTGCTACAGAGAGGTGGATATCTGTGATCACTTCCCTTGACTTTGGATGCACTTGACTGCAGACGTGATATTGCATTACTTTCAAGGCTAGGCCATAAAAGGAAATACAGCCTCTGTTGAGCTTTCTTGAGTCACTTGTTCTGGGCCACCATGCTGTGAGGAAGTCCAGGCAGCCTTATGGAGGCCTAAGTGGAGAGAAACTGAAGCGCTCAGCCCACAGTCCCAGCTGAGCTCCTAGAGATTGCCAGCGCCAATTTGCCAGCCATGTGAGTGAACCATCTTGGAAGTAGGTATTTCCAGCCGTTAAGCTGTCCTAGCTAATGTCATTGGATCATGAGCTATCCCCACCAAAGCCCTGATCAAATTGTAGATGTGTGAGTAAATGATTGTTGTTTTAAGCCACCAAGTTTTAGAGTGGTTTGTTATGCAGCAATAGCTAACTGGTAAAATCTAGAATACTCTCCTCCCCATTCCACTTTGCATGGCTGCTTTCTTCTCATTCTTCAGGTCTCAGTTTGAACGTCATCTCCCTGATAGCCCCAGCTAGGTAGCCCCTATTATTGTCTATTATAACTACCTGGACTTCTCTTTCATACTTTTCTTGTTTTGTAATTATTTGCTGATTTGTCTACTTCCCCACTAGGCTTGAGTTTTTTAAACTCAGGTCTTGACCTATTAATAGATCATAAAATCAATTTTTAAAAGATGAAATAAAATGAATATAAAGTATCAGATAAGTAAATAGTAAAGGATAAGTAACGTATTGTGAAATTTGTTAGATATAGGTAATATATGTGTGTGTTGGTACGTAATATATGTTTTACTCTAGTTTTTAAAAGTTTGAAAGCCACTAAACTGTCAATTCCCAAGGCCAGCGACCATGTCTCTCTCACTCACCATGAACATCCAACAACTAGCAAAGTACCTGGCACATAGTAGGCACTCAATGAACACATAGTAAATACTGTAGAAATAAGAGGACTGTGAATGAACTGTGGAGACAGGAAACAGTTGGCAGTGATGTTACCCTTTGGAGAAGTCTGACAGTGAAGAGATGGAGAGAAAGAGAATAAAACGTTGAGCAGGAGAGTTCTTGGGAGAGGGGAGACATGAGCATGTTCATTCACTATGGGCAAGGATCCAGTAAAAGTTGGGAGAGAAAAAAATGCAAGATGAAGATAAATATTTGATAGTACAAGGAGCAAACATGCTGGAGAGGACAAAATCCAGGGTACAGTTAGAGGGGTGAGCATTAAGGGAAAGGAGGTATTTCTTTCTCCGAGATTGGACAAATGAGAAACGTTGAAGTAGAGAACATGGGGGACTGAAGGAGCTCATTTCTGAAGGTCTCCACTCTCAAATTATAAGTCAAGGCTTGTGAACAGATTAAGAGTAGTGGAATTCTGAGCTTAAGAAGAGTGGAAACATTTAGGAATAAGGCCTCTGAAGAATGAGAGGGAGTCAAGAGATGAGTTGAATCTGACACCAACAGAGAGAACTGTAAGTTGAAAACTATAAATACGAAATTGGGTTAATCTGCATGATTATGTGAATTTTCTTCCAGTGTTGCCTGCCATCTAAGTATAGGAGTAAAAACTCAATTGTCGGAATAAAAAAAAAAAAGGTGGCTATGGTAGGTCAAGAAAGAAGCAAATGAGAATGCTGGTAAGAAGGGAGAGTAGACTTGAAATAATTCTGGCTAGGGTAGGAAGGGAGATGAAGGAAGAGTTAAGGGCTTAGAAAAGTGCAATAGCCTTGATTTAGTGGGAGAGCATGGAAGGATAAGAGAATACAACTAAAGGGGAGAAGTTTAGAGTTTAAGGTATCAGAAGTGGCAAGAAGCCTGGGTTATATTCCCTAGAGGTAAGAAAAAGAACTACCTCTGAGATCAGACTGTCCAATATGGTGTACATCCCCAAGATGTTAACAGAGGAAGCAGGTGAAATATAAATGTGTGCCTGGTATTAAAATCAATGAAGAAAGAGACAGAGTATCCTAGAGGTCAGTAGAAAATATGGACAAGGGTAGGTGATAGACAATTTCTAAGGGGGAGAAGTTACTGAAAGAGACTAGGCCTTTTTTATTTTGAGAGACATACAATGTACATTAAAATTTTTTATTTTCTCATTGAAACTGTCCAGATTAAGAAATTTACTTGGAATCACATTATTCCCTTAATTTTTTCACAGAGAATATTCCATTTACTATGTACTTCATCATCTTCTGGACATGTTCTATGTAATATATTTATTAGCATACTAGTTTCAATTGGGCAAAACTTACTACCAATAAAACTTGAATTTAATTTGTCACATATTTCCATTGGCAACCAATGATCAGGTGCTTCAATATTACAGATTTCAATTCTTCCATTCTTTATGTCTATGAATACTTTAATTTCCAAGTGTGACTGTTCATATAACACATTAAAGGAAGTGTTTATACTAAACTTTGGAGTTTTGCCATATATCCACTCCCAGGTTTTTAGTTCTTTGGCTTTGCTATTTATTCCAGGAAACAGTGTCTCATCTGTTGGGTTTATTAGGCTAATGTGATTATCAATTTGATGATAAGCAGCATACTCTGCAGCAATAGCATTCATCAGTACTTCACAGGTCAGAGTGGGATCTTTTTCCAAAAGATTTTTTACTAAGGCAGGTATGCTAGCAGTGGCATTGCTCCTGATCCCTTGGTAAGGGCTCTTCAGCAAAGATGACAAGAAGGTCCGATCGGTACCACATAATAAAGTGCAATGGTGATAAGCAGTAGTCCGGCCAATCTTAGAAGCTGTTCCTGAGATTTTAAACTGTCCATCAAGTAAAAGGTCAAATCTTTTGGTAGGCTGCACATCCAGCTGGGGTTGGACAGAATTCAGAGCTCTCACAACCAATTTTAGATTTTCCATTCTATCATACTTTTTTTTGGTTGTAAAAAAAGTCAAATTGATATTACCCATATCATGGTAGACTGTTCCTCCTCCACTTCTTCTCCGAGCCAGTTTTATTCCTTCTTCTCTCATCAGATTCAGGTTACATTCCTGCCAAGGATTCTGATGCCTACCTATTACAACAGAGGGAGAATTTCTCCACAAGAAAAGCACGGGCTTGCCTTCTAGATTCATATGGTCATGGATCCAGTCTTCTACAGCCAGGTTTTGGTAAACATCATTGGAAATCGACTGTAAAATGAGCCCACTTTTTACTATGTTTTTAAAGCCAGCTGCTGGGACCTTGAGGTTACAAAGTAACCGGAAGCAATTCTTCGTTGAAAATGGGATCAGCATGCTTTTAAAAATGGAAGACAAACAAATTAATTGATTGAGAAAAGGAATCTTAAATTCTATTTTCTAGCTATGAATTCTGGGTTATTTAATCCAAACTTATCTAATTCTCTAAGTATCCTGTTCAGTTCCCTTCTTGCCTTTTAGCTTTATCATTAGTCTTCAGCAGCTCTATAACAGAGTACTCAAAGTAGGTAAAGGAAGACAAACCTCAAATAATTTCAGTTGAAATGAAATAGGGGCACAGATTTTACAAACAATTAATCTGCAAATACATTATGCAATATATCTCAAAGCCAAACAAATTATGTTGAATTCATAGGTAATACATGTTCCCTGAGCAAAATGAGAAAATACAGATAAGCAAAAAGAGCAAAATAAAAGAATCCATAACACCACCACGGGGAGACAACCACAATTACTATTTTAGTGTGTACCCATTTTTTTCTGTGCATGTGTATACACACACATGCTTCCCCCCCCAAAAAAGTGGAACCATACTGTTATTTCATTCAACATTAAATCTATTATTACATCAGCTTTAATGTTGTGTAATATTCCATGTCAGATATACCACAGTTTACTCAGTCTCTTAGTTTGTAACGTTAGGTTGTTTCTAGTTTTTCTGTGTTATCAACAATGTATTTATGAACATCTCTGTGGAAAGCTTTAATTAAAAGAATTTTTAAATAATTCCTATTTGACTTTGAGATATAAGATTTACTGGCAGCACAATTGTTTTATTAGATCAACATTAAATGAGGATGGACGCCCTGAGGTCAGGGGAGAGGCAATCAGAGTAGCAGAGTTATATGGAAAGGCTATGAATAATTTTATTACATTTGGACACTTTACACATTATTTTTGTTAGCAGTACTGGTGAAATATTAGGTCCCAAAGGGTTGAAAATACTAGCTGTAATAATGAAGGATTTTGACTAGTTATGCTTGTAAAGAAACCATTCTATTCCAATTCTAATTTTCAGGATGGTCATAATTTTCCTTTAGGTTAAGTAACTTGGTAGAATGGATTATTCAAGTCCATAACTAGGCCAAATTCTTTAGTCATGTCCTTTAGAAGCACAATTCCTAGGTTAGAGTCTTCATATTTTCATTACTCTTGATATATTTTGTAAATTATGCTACAGAAAAGTTGAACCAATTTACAATCTAGAAAGGTCAGGAGAGGTTTAATAGAGGAAGGGATATTTGAACTGAGTCTCCAAATCTGATGGTGTTTACCAAGCCAATGGGAGTAGCATTTTTCCAGCATATGCAGACAAAGGGGGTGAGGACGATGAAGTGTATTCAGGAATTGATATCAATAATGTACACCCAAAATTATGCAATGTTATAAACCATTATAATCCCAATAAAATTACTTAAAAAACCAGTCATCTAATAGTAAGGCATGTTTTGGGGACTCCCTCCTCAGGGATAGAGTCAGACTATCAGTCTTCTAGCTCCACGGAAGTCTAGGGCTGTGCCGTCCTCAGAGGCCTCTGCAGCCAGACTGCATTGCTTTGGTTAAACTCTTTGTTTTCTTGGTTCTGTTTGACCGCCTTTGACATAGTCCTTCATCCATTCAACAAATATTTATGGAGTGCCCACTAGGCACAAGGCAGTAAGGGAATAGAGAAGGGAAGGAGACAAATTCATGTAATTCTAAAATACTTGGACCTTTCTAAAAGCAGCTGGGATCTATTGAAGTGTTTTGAGCAGGCAAGTTGGCCATTATACAAAACCACCTCTGTGACCAGTGTTGAGCATGGATTAAAGAAAGGACAGACTCAAGAGAGACCAGTTAACAGACTAATGCAGTTGTCTAAGCTAGAGATAATGAGGGCCTGAACTAGGGTAAGAGACATAAAGGGGATGGATATGAGAGACATGAGGGTCGGAGACAGGCCTCGCCTTCAAGGAACTCACCATCTAGTGGGAGATACTAAAAAGCAAGTAAAGCGATAATTGAAATACAGTGTCATAAGTGCTGTGATAGGGTAAGTACGTTAGAAGGCCTACTCTAATTAGTAGAAGTGACATTGAAGCTGAGACATAACAGGGATAAGAAAAGTATTTCAACAAAGTGCAACAGCTTGGAGGAGAAGGAGACCCATTCAAAGAATTTAATTCCATTGGCTGGTACTAGGATACGAAGCGCAAGAGATAAGGAGGCAGAAGTAGAGGTCAGATTATGAAAAGGCTTAAAATCCAAGTTTGATGCTTGAAGTTTACCCTGAGGGCCATGGAGGAAGGGCTGAAGAGTTTTAAGGAAGTGGGAAGAACTGATTTATACTTTCAAGACATCACCTAAAGATTTAAGAATGGACAATCTACAATATTTGGTAATTGGTTGAATAAGGGTGAGAGAGAGAAGTCAGGGGTCATGTCCCTTATGGTATAATGATTATAAACTATAGCCAGCGAGCCAGCATTCAAATCCCAACTCTGTCTTTTACCAGCTGAGTTACCTAAGGCAGATTGGTTGACTTTTTTGTGTCTCAGATATCTTATCTGTAATATTCAGGTAATGATGGAACTCAAATCAGGATTATTTCAGCTAATACAGGTAAAGTGCTTATGAGAGCACCTGGCACATAGAAAGCACACAATATGTTAGCTCTTTTATTAATATTATGCCCTGATTTCTGGGCTGGCAAGTGGATGGAAAGAGGTGACATTTCCTAGGACAGATTTCATAGGAAGAGGAGGTATGGGGTGAAGATAATTGGTTCATTTTGACTGTGTTGAACTTGAGAGTCTATGGTTATCCAGCAGCCAATGGCACAGACCTGAATAGATGGTAACTGAGGCCATGGGAGGAACCAGATTATCCAGAGAGGGTTCAGTGAGAAGATACAAGAGCCTTACAACCCCAAAGAACAGTAATATTTAAGGGACACGCAGAGGAAGGAGGGAGAGCTCTCAAAGGAAACTAAGAATAGAAGAAATTTTAAAATATGGTATATAGAAGCTTCAAGGAGACAAGATGGTTAATAATGCCAAACGCTGAAGATAGATTAAGTAAGATGAGGGTTGAAAAGCATCTATTAGAGTTAACAGCATCAAGAAGATTAGTGAACCAGATGTGTTGAGTAAAGTGGAGACAATGAGTATGTTCCAGTTGTAAACTGGAAAAGCTAGGGACAGCAGCAGTTAGAGGAAATGTGAAGTTAGGAGTGGATTTAAAATGCAAGAGAACTGAGCATGTTTAGATCACGATAGGAGTGAGGAGAGGAAGAGAGGGCAACGTTGGTGAAGGAAGGTCCCTGACAGCCTGGTGGTGTTGGAAGCCAGAGTTCAGGCAGGGAGAGAGGCAGCCTTGCCAGCAGATGGGATCCTCTTCCACTGTGACCCAAGGGAGGAACAGGAACTAACAGGTGTGGTGGACACTAATATCCTGAATGGTGTCTGTGAATCCGGAAATTCTCAAAGACCTTGTGACGAATCCCTTCCTAAGGTTAAGGCTCTGACTCTTGTCTGCATATACAGAATGTGGCAGGATACAGAGTATCAGGATATCTGGATCAGGATACCAGATAACAAGAAGTTTGTTTTTTTTTTCAGTTTTATTGAGATATAATTGACATATAACATTGTATTAGTTTAAGGTGTACAACATAATGACTTGATATATGTATAATGCAAAAGGATTATTACGGTCAGTTAACATCCACAGTTACAATTTTTTTCCTGTGATGAGAACTTTTAAGATCTACTCTCTTAGCAACTTTCAAATATGCAATACAGTATTGTTAACTATAGTCCTTTATAGAGCTTAAGTTTTAATCTTGGCTCCACCACTTACTGAGTAACCTTAGGCAAGTAGTTTAACTGCCGGCTGTTACAATTGCCTCATTTATAAAAGGTTCCTACCTCATAGAATGGTTGAGAGAATTAAATGGGTTAACAGGCATAAAGCACTCATGCTGGCAAATATGAAATGCTCTAGAATGTTAACTGTTCCTACTGACAAATAAAAATGGCAAGCAATAGGATATATTGGAGAATATGAGGAAGCCATTTGGTGTAAACCTAATTCGGCCTGACCTTGTCTTTCCAAAAGGGCCTGACTGTGGCCATTGAGCATGCGTTGTATATCTGCTTTAGATATTCCCCATGGCAAGAACAAAGGCCCTTGAGATAAAGGTGCAACTTCCCTCCCCGTCCCAATGTTGGGATTCCCTTAAGGATTAAGCATCTTTCCTTAGGCTAGGAACTGATTGCTGCGCTCACCTGTGACCACCCAGCTCCAGACAATAGACTTGCCTCCTGCTGCGCCCACTGAGATAGCAGACCCACTACCTACTGTGTCCATCAAGCGCTGTGCTGACAGGGTAATCTTGTGACTATTGTGGGAGGGACATTTCAATCATATGTGAAACATACTGTTTGGGGGTATATAACCACTCTGTGCACCCCACTTCTTTGGTGCCCTTTCTTCCTTCGGGAAGAAAGGCCCCGGGCCATGGTCCTCAGATTTTAGCTCAGAATAAACTCGTCCAAATTTTCATTTATAGATTGGTTATGGATTATTTTCGTCGACACTACCTTCCCATCTCTGTTCTTCTCATACTATTCCCATCATATGACATGCATTCCCTCCAGGAGCTTAATAGGAAAGTGGACAAAGATTCCTAACCAAGACACATCGAAGTGGCATTTACCTTGATAAATTAACAAGAGTGCAAGATAATGACTTTGGTCAAAAACATGATCTTGTTAGGATTCCTGAACTGATCCAATTCATGTATTAATAGTGCTCAAAATATCTCTATTCATCCAGGTATTGTGTATACAGTGTGAATAAAACACAACAAAGGTGTTAATTCTACAAATCTTGCATCCACCATATGACAGGCATTGTTCTTGGCACCTGGCATTTATCAGTGAACCAATTAAAGATGACAGGGCTATGGGAAAAAAGAACAAGTAGGGATGGGACGGGGGGAATTGGAAATGTGTGAGAGGAACTAGACTGCAGTTTTAAATAGGGTCATCAGGC